TCACTTGGGTTGTTACCAACATCTGGTGAAAATTTCATGTCATTAGCACCTCTAGTAATATATTTACTGAGAAAAATGGTGACGTGTTCAATACGATGTATTGTGATACTGTAAGCAAGGTGATATATTGCCATTTTTAAAAACTCAATATAACTAGCACAGCATCTGAACAAATTCAGTTTATTTTTCTGCAGAGGAACTCTGAACAGTGAGAACTGCATTTGTATTTTACAGTTTTCTTACAACATCCATTAAGCCTTAATTAAAACTCCATACATCACCAAGACATGAAATACTGTGATATTTCAGCGTATCGATATTTTCTAACACCCCTCCTGTTGACATCTTGTTCCCTCTTATTTCCCAGTTTCATGTTCCAGAAAACAACCAACAACTCTGAAGACTCGCTCTAACGTCAGGGCTTTCTGCTCCTCACTGTTTCAGATGAGTCGCACTCAGAAAGTTCCTGCATCTTTTTAAAATCTGATCTTTAAAAAAAAGGGGGAAAGAAAAGACAAAGGCTGACACGTCTGGCACTTATTAAGCAGGACAGGCGCACGACACCGACCAGTCTCAGACAGAACGTAAAAAAAACTCAGACACACGTCAAACCCAACAGGAGGGTTTAAATTAAAGTTCCCGGCAGGGGGCGTGGTTTGGCCTCAGCGAACCATCAGGTCTGAGTGCTGAAGTCTTTTTTTTTTCCAACCTCTGCCCTGGCAGTTCTGGTTACTGAAGCATTCTGAGAATCCGAAGCGTGCAGTGGAACTCCTCAGCAGTACTGTACCCTTTGTGTTTCTGCATGGAGCCCTTTGAGCAGGTGGAACAGCTGAAAGGACAGCAGAGGAGGCCAACTGCTGCCACACTCCCTGCAGAAATCCTTTCTGAGCAAAACACAGACAAATATGGCACCAAGTGAGAAGGGAAACAGAAATTAAACTGATGTGTTGCACAGCATGAGCTAAGATATTTATATGACTCAGCTGAGATAAAACTGGTTTGTTTCTTATAAGGTCAGAAAGTCTTGGTCTTACCATCTCTAATTGTTTTATTATACTTCAAGGGTTCAGGAATCACACTCTATAAATTGTTTCAGACAAAGCACAGTCTTGCATGTTCATAACATCTCTTATTAGAATAAAAATCATGCAAAGCTTACAAAATAACTCTCTAGCACATATCAAACTCAAGGCCCGCAGGCCAAATCTGGCCCCCGTTAATATTTTATAAGGTCCCAAAGGTAAAATGTTTTTTTTGTTTTGTCTTTTTTGTTGTTGATGTTGTTGTTTTTGTAGCTGTATTTAAAGCATTCTCATGAACCTCTAAGCCAAGAAAATGAAGTTTGAATTTTTTTTTTTTGTAATTTTTGATTTTGGACGATTGACTTTAATTTCCTTTTTCTGTATTCTCTTCTTCATTTGGTGAGTCGGGACCCCACTTTCATCAAACACATTCCTTTTGCTTTAGTTCTTAAAGGGGTGTGGCTAGTGTATTTTAAAATAAATGAAAGTAAGAAAATTGTTACTATGTCCCTGTGTATTTGGCCTGACATCAACATTTATTACCCCCAGAAACACAGTGACACAGGTCTTTGCTACTGTGTTGCTGTTTTTTTTATTATTATTTTTTTGTGGGTCAAAAGCTGAAAAGGCTATGTTCTAACAACAGATAAAATATAATTTGTTTTTCTATAAGAATAATTTGTTACATAACCTTTTTCAACAAATATTGTCAGAAACTGGTCCTTGACTTGGACCAAGTTTTGAATTTTGGCCCACTGTGTTTGACCCTGCTCTGATATGTTAACATAGAATCAAAACAAAAACTTTAGTTTCATAAGAAGTATAAGTTTGGTTGCTTTAATTACCCACATCTGGTCAAGATGTAAACAAACTGAGAAAGACTTACATTAGCTTGTGTAGCCGTTAAACAACAGTTAGCTCACCTGGGTCTGCTAACCTCTTGAGAGTTTTTATCGGGACCTCGGAGCCACTTTTCTGGTTTTGGGTGGTCTTCTGTAGGTTTTTTGTCCACAAAATGAAAAGAGCAAACATACAGTAGCTTCTGTGGTTTCTTCAAATGTAAAGCTTTTAATCACTGGTGAAGGGTTTCCTCATTTTTCGGTGGAGGATGAAGGTCATAAGGCACTTCAATTCCACGTTCAGCTCTCGTACGCGTTTTATGATTAAAACATTCCAGCTCCAGGTGATTTTGTCTACTGTACCAGTTATTATGACACCCACTAACTGCATAAGATAAGATCAGATCAGACCAGATCAGACCAGACCAGACCAGACCAGACCAGACCAGATAAGATAAGATAAGATAAGATAAGATAAGATAAGATAAGATAAGATAAGATAAGATAAGATAAGATAAGATAAGATAAGATA